AGAGTTCGACGTCCCACCGATCTGCCCGTCCCACCCGCTCGGCTCCACCGCGTTCGATTTCTCATCAAAAGGGTTAAGACGTCGCCCGGGTTGGGAGGAGTTCGTCTCCAGGGGGTTCGGTCCAGGGTGCTCAAATCCCCAACGGGCTAAAGACGCTCCTAGCCGGGCTTGAAGTCAAACGGATTGGGGTCCAACGTGTTCAAACTCCCAGCGGGTTAATGGGACTGATGGGACGGGGTTTGACGTCCAGTCGGTATGGGTCGAGCGTGTTCGACTCCCAACGGGTTAAGGCGCTCATCCAAGGAGTTGGACGTCCAATGGGTTTGACGTCCAACGGGTTTGACGTCCAACGGCTCGGGTCCAGCGTGTTCGAATAATGTTTGTTTTTCTGTGTTTAAAATTACTCCAGAATGAACCCTTTCAGTTTTTTTATATATTTTGCTATTTTTATTTACTTTGTTGATCTCATTCTGTACCTGCATATGGTTTTGTGATGACATCCAACCCTGACTGAGACATGGAGTCCAGCTGTGTTGGGTCTGTCAGTGCTTTCACATGGTCAGTATAGTTCCTCCAACATACTGACATTCAGATTGCCGCCAACACATGTAGCCATTGTGGATGAGCGGCTCATGTATTGGTTTGTTCAATTCTGTGGATAATATCAACTGCCTGAGATCATGCGCGATATGATCCCACCGTTGAATTATCTGCTTGATACTCTGTGTGGCTGTATACTTTAACTGATGAGTTGAACCCTTCAAATGCCGTTCAATTTCTGTTGGCCATACTGCATACTTGCATTGACGGCATATGATGATGGGGTATGATTCACACTGAATGAAAAATTGATGTTCCATGTTAATGAAGTCAGTGTATTCTTGAGTTGATATATATATATATATATATATATATTCTTTGAAAATGAAGTATAAACACACTTCACTCGGCAATGATAATTTGCTCTAAATTTAAGTTTTGTAATGCTTCTAAGCAATTGCAGATCAATACTTAAATGTCTGATGTTAATTTCTGTCTGATTGTTATTTCGCTGATCTGTGACCGTTTTGATGATGGTAGTTGCCCAGGGGGGAAATATATATATTTAATATTGATAACTCTGCAAAACAACTTATCTACTTTAATGTTGTAATAATATGATTTTCTGATGAAATTATGTCTTGAAATTAAATATCATACTCTGTATATATAACCGGTCGACACAAAGTTTGAATTCTGCTCGATTGGCACTTCAATCGCGTAGTAGGACAGAGGAAATCCACGGAGAGGATAGGTGCTCATACGA